ATTTCATGATTTCATCTTTCTTTACTGCTGAGTAAAACTCCATCATATAAATGAACCACATCTTCCTTATCCACTAGTCAATTGAGAGACACTTAGGTTGCTTCCATCTCTTAGCTATTGTGAAAAGAGCACCAACAAACATGGATGTACAAGTGTCTGCAATAGGATGAGTTCTTTGGGTATGTGCCAAGGAGTGGTATAACTGGGTCAAATGGTAGGTTCATTTGTATTTTTTTTTTTTCAGAGTTTTCCACACAGCTTTCCATAGGGGTTGAACCAGTTTGCGGCCCCATCAGCAGTGGATGAGTGTTCCCCTTTCCCCACATCCTCTCCAACATTTGGTATCATTTGTTTTCTTGATCTTAGCCAGTCTGACTGGGATAAGGTGAAATCTTAAAGTGGTTTTAATTTGCATTTCCCTAATTATTAGTGATGTTGAACATCTTTTAAGATGTTTCATAGCCATCTTTACTTCTTCTTTTGAGAACTCTCTGTTCAGCTCCTTAGCCCATCTTTTAATTGGGTTGCTTCTTGTCTTGATTCTGTTTTTTGAGTTCGTTATATATTCTGGTTATTAAACCTCTGTCCGATGTGTCACTGGTGAAGATTTTCTCCCATTCTGTGGGTTTTCTGTTTGCTTCATTGGTTGTCTCCTCTGATGTACAGCTTTTTAGTTTAATGAGGTCCCATTTGTTAATACTTGCCCTTGTTTCCTGAGCAATTGATGTCCGGTTTAGAAAATCCTTTCCTACGCCTATATCTTGTAGGTTTTTCCCAATGTTTTCTTCTAATAGTTTCAGAGTTTTAGGCTTTACATTGAGGTCTTTGAGCCATTTGGAAGTGACTTTTGTGCAGGGTTAAAGATAGAAGTTTAGTTTCATTCTTCTACAAGTGGAGATCCAGTTTTGACAGCACCATTTGCTAAACATGCTGTCTTTCCTCCAGTTAGTGTTCTGGGCCCTTTCGTCAAATATCAGGTGGCACCACGCAACCTGAGTTCTTTACTCCAACTCAAGAACATTTTTGTAAAGGCCAGCAAGGGACAAGCCGACTGGAACGTGGCCCCACTCTGCCTCCCTTGCATCCAGAACTGGCTGAGGATCTTGGAAAAGAACAAAGCTTGATTGACTCATTTAGTAGTCGGGGCCACCTACCTACTGGTTAGTTTTAATTGCCAAGACTAGAAAAAGAATGTACTATGGAGGATGAGGGATTTGCAGGGCGCCAGAGGCAGCAAAGGACTCCCAGCCGTAGTTACAGGCTCCCGGAATCCAAAGTCAGAGGTTGTGTTTCCGGCCGGAACGCTCCTCCCACCTCTCCCGGAAGCGGCGCTCGCTGCCGGGTTAACTGTTAGGGGTCGTAAGGCAATGGACCTAGAGGAAGCGGTAAGCATCTAGAGGATCGCTTGCTGGTGGAATTTGGCGGTCTCTGACTAGCCAGGCCCAACGGGAGCCTGGCTGAGGGAACAGCGCTCCGAGGACGGGTTTAACTGGGAGCGGCCACCTGCCTAGGGGGCGGAGCGAGGGGTGGGCGGCCGCAGCACGAGCTTGGAACCTAGCTGGCCTTCCGGGTCCAGTGACACTCGCGGGTGAGGTGGGTGGAGTGTTTCCTTAGGGCGTGTGTAGGGAGGGTGGTGAAGTTGTAGGCTTGAGGGGTGGCCGCCCTGAGGCTCGTCCTTTCTGGAGGGGACCACCCAGCAAAGTTCCCTTTGATAGTGGGTAGGTGTGGGAGGGGAAGTGCGTGGAACTTGGGATGTCTCCAAGTAGTCAATCTTTCTGGGAATCCCTTGCCAAACTCCGGTGTGAGGAGAACAAATCCCTGCTGGGGGACCTTCTCACGTGTCCATAAATCATTGTAATAGTTGCCACTGTGCTGTCATTGAAAAAAATTTACCAAATTGTCAAGATAGATTTGGCATACACTTTTGACATGCTGTGTAAAAGGCTGCACTCTTTGATGACATGAGTAGTCATTAATTGATCAATAAGTCACTCCCTGAAGAAGTTTGAATCAGAGTGTGTGTACATTGGCAGAATGGTGATTGGTCTTATAGTAGACTCAGTAAATATTAATAAGTGTTGAATGATGAATTAGTGTCTAAATAATGAGTTGCAACTGTAATACACCATGATCCATACATATGTATTGTGAGTAGATCCTACGTCTCTTTTGCTTACTTTTGAATTCCCAGCACCCAATTAAAAGTTTAACACATACATAATTGATACCCTTCATATTGCTGCATGAATAAATTGAAACTTGAAACAATTGGTAAAAATCTAGTTCCTTTGTGGTAAGCATATTTTTAATGCCTCATAGGAAATTCCAAATAGTATTTCTATTTTTCAAATTTGTATTATTGTTTTATTTTATTTTAAATTTTTTGGTTTTTTGAGACAGGGTCTCCCTGTAGTCCCAGCTGGTCTGGAACTTCCTAGCTGTATAGACCAGGCTGACCTCAATCTCACAGAGATCAGCCTGCCTCTGCCTCCATCTCCGTAGTCCTGGGATTAAAGGTGGGTACCTGGCAGATAATTGAATTTTGTTTTGGCTGTATGATCATTTTGTTATCCCCTCCAACCCCAATGCATTTCCATTGAGTTTTATTTTCACTTTCAGTGAGTAGTTTATTTTTATCTTTGTTTCCAACTTACTCTTGCAACTTTTCCTTTTTTCTCACTATGTATTTTAGTAGTTTTATGTAATAGTTTAACTTCCTATTGTTAAAGAGACTGAAGTCTCTAGTTTTGGTTTTGTTTTGTTTTGTTTTTTAATTTACTGGATGAGGGGCTGGATAGATGACTCAGCACTTGAGAGCATTGGCTGCTCTTGCAGAGAACCCAGATTCAGTTCCCAGCACCCACAAGGCAGCTCACAACTGTTCGTAACTCCAGTTCCAAGGGAGCTGATGTCCTCTTCTGGCCTCCATGGGCATTATATGACAGGGGTGTACTTGCATACATGCAAGCAATACACTCATATACATAAAATTAATAAATAAAGTATTTTAAATTTATGGGATGAAATTGCCAGGAACCCTAGAAGTAGAACTGAGAACCTGTGGGGTTTAAGATCCAGGACACTAAAGATGGCTTGACAGTAACATCTTTCTTCTTCTGTAGAAAGAGTTCAAAGAACGCTGTTCTCAGTGTGCTGCTGTTTCTTGGGGTCTTACTGATGAAGGCAAATACTATTGTACTTCTTGCCACAATGTTACAGAGGTAAGTCACGTATCACTTGTGAATTTGCTCATGTTTTAACAGTTGCAGTATCAGCCTGGTAACTAGCCTAATTCCTTAAAAAATTATATATTTTTATCATTAGTTCAATGGCCAAATTCAAAGAATATAAGTAGTCTTCAAGAACTCATTCTTGGGTTAAGAACTTTGTAAATTAGATTGAGGATGCACTTAAAAATTTATTTTAATTTTATGTGTATGAATGTTTTGCCTACATGTATACAAATGCACCTATGTCTGGCAATGCCTGTGGAGGGCAGAAGAAGGTGTTGGATTCCCTTGAAGTGGATGGAGTTATGGATGGTTGTTAGTTGCCAAGTGGATGCTAGGAACTGAACCAGATCCTCTGTAAGAGCAGCCAGTGCTCTTGACTGCTGAGCCATCTCTTCAGCCCTAAAGGGTGAACTTTTAAAATTATGTTGAGCCTTATAATATAAGTGAATTTTAAAAAAAGATTTATTTTTAATTTTGTGTATGTTTGTTGTGGATATATGCACATGAGTGCAGTCCCTGCACAAGCCAGAAGAGGGATTCAGATCCCCTGGAGCTGGAATTATAGGCAGTTGTGTGCCACCAGACGTAGGTTCTGGAAACTGAACTCTGGTGCTCTGTAAGAACAAGCATTTTTAAAAAAAAATTTTAATTGAATTTTTACAATTTTTATGCAATATAGTTTGATGGAATTTAGATCCCCTCCTCTATCCATACCCACCTCCCCCACTGCCTCTTGCCCAGGTTAATGTACTCATGTATGTATAACATGGCCTATAGAGTCTGATTTGTGCCTCCCAAATGTCCTTCAGTATAGGTCCATCCACTGGGCCCACTGAGTCCTATCCCTGAAGCAGTGTCTTTACCCCTTCCAGCAGGCATCAGTTGCCAAAAGTTCCTTAGATTGGGCTGAGGTTTCTTACCCACTTCCCCGTGTCTATGCTGGGATTTTGTCTGGTTTGAGCTGCATAGGACTTGTGCATGCTGTCACCATTGCTGTGAGTTCATATGTGTAACTGACCAGCTGTCTGGAAGACTGTTTCCTTGTGGTCATCCAGCCGCTCTGGCTTTTACAGCCTTCCTGCCTCCTCTACCACAATGATCCCTGGGCCTTTGGAGGCAGAAGTTTGAAATAGGTGTCCTGATCAAGGATAAGCATTCTGTGACCTCTTGTTCTCTGCACACTGGCCAATTGTGAGTTTCTGTGTTAATCACCATATGCTGTAATAAGGAAACTTCTCTGGTGAGAATTGAAAGATGTGTTCATCCTATGTATAGCAGTTGCATTGAAGATGGGTTAAGCATCTCACAGACACTTATTCTTTGCATTTGACCAGTTCTGGAACTCTGTTATAGTTTCCATTTGTTGCAAAAAGAAACTTGTTTGATGAGAGGTGAAAGGTACACTTGTGTGTTTATATGAGGATGCATATTTGGAATAAATTAAGAAATCAGCCAAGCGTGGTGGCTTATATCTTTAATCCCAGCACTCAGGAGGCAGATGCAGGTGAATCTCTTGTGAGTTCAAGTCCAGCCTGGTCTACATAGGGGTCACAGGCCAGCTGGTGCTGCAGGGAGACCCTGTCTCAAAAAAAAATAAAATAAAAATAAAGTAAGAAATCACGTTTGCTCTAGGGATATGGCAAAAGTAGGTTTTTCTCTAGGTTCTATGACCTCTCCAGCCATGTGTATTTGGCTATGTCTACAGTATCACACATGAGTTCCCACCCATTGAGTGGACCTTAATCCCAATTAGACAGCTGTTGATTACCCCCAAGATAAAAGTGTTACTACTGCATCAGTATCGATAGTTTGCTGGGCCAGTCTTTGTTGTTCATTAGAATTTACAGCTGGGTAGGACCATTGATCGGTTTTCTCTGTTGGCAGCTTGTATAGTATAGTATCCCCTGATACTGTGAGAGCTAGTCTTTAGGAAGAAGGCTTCCAGGTCAGTTCCTGCTTGATTGCTGCAAGTCCTGTCTAAAGTGTGGCCTATCTTCAGCACTAATAGGATCTTACCTTCAAGTTCTGAGAGGCGATCAAGGACTGTGACAATAGCATGTGTTATTTTGGGAGTCTCTTACATTATCCTGATCAGCAGCTCAAAGGGAGGTTTCTCCTGCCTGGCACTGTGTTTTTTTGTTATATAACCTTCAGCTATACACACACAGACACACACAGACACACACACACACATACACACACACACACATTTATTTATTGTATGTATTTTTCAGTAGGACTTTGAACTAATACATTTCCCTCTGATTTTTCATATCACCTAAGCAATATATATCTCTCTTCTCACTCCCTCTGTATAACCCTTGCTACTTCCTCCCCAGTTAAAGTGCCCCTATTCCCCCTTTTCCCCTTAATAACACCTGTCTTCTACTGTCCCTCTCTCTTGAATTCCTTCTTCCCCTTTTTCCCCATAGTTCCTTTTCATTTTCTTTTCTTCTGCAGTTACCAGGATATATACTCATATCTAGGAATTTGGAGCTAAGATCCACAAACAAAAGAGAACCTATGTCACTTGTTTTTCTGAGCCTGGGTTACTTCACTTAGCATAACAGTTTCTAGTTCCACCCATTTACCTGTAAATTTCATAATTTCATTTTTCTTTACTGCTGAGTAGAACTCCATTGTGTAACTATCACATTTTCATCATCTAATCATCAGTTGTGGGACATTTAGGTTTTTTCCATTTCTTTATAATTTTTATTGAATTTTTGTGTGTTTCATACAGAACATCTTAATCATCTTTAATACCCCCTTCCCCATTGGCACCCTCCCAAAGCCCCTCTCCCCCACACTGGAATTCATACATTCTGTCATTTGTGTTAAGGCCTATCGTGTCAAGTTAGATGTCTCTCAGTGCAAGTTCATCCACTGGGCACTAGTCAGCCTATGTAGAGTCCCACTTTTTTAAGATCAGCTCTTCCTCACCCAGCAGTTATCAGTGTCCAATAATTCTACTAAAATTGGGGATGGTTGCCTTTTCCACAGTTCTGTGCTTGGTTTTTGTCTGCCTGAATTTCCATAGGTCTTGTGCATGCTGACACCATTGTTGTAGGTTCATATGAGCAGGGTCCCAGAAGCTTGTAGGACTCTTGTTTCCATATGGCCATGCACCTCTTCCCTGGCTCTTACAATTTTTATGCTCCTTCTTTTCCAGTGGTCCCTGAGCCTTGGGTGGGTGGAGTTTAATATAAGAATCCTGTCCAAGGACCCACACTCTGCAGACTTATTCTCTATGCTTTGACCATTTGTGACCTTTTGTGTTCCTGGCCCTCTGTTGCACAAGGGAGTTTCATTGATGAGGTGGTTTCCATTTCTTAACTATTGTGAAAAGAGTTGCAACAAACACAGCTGTGCAAGTATCTCTGTAGTACGATGAGTCCGTTGGTTTATTACAAGGAGTGATATAACCAGAACATATAATAGATTTATTTTTAGTTTTTTAAGAGTTCTCTAAACTGATTTCCACAGCGGTTGCACCAGTTTGCAATCCTACCAACAGTAGATGAGGGTTTCCCTTTCCCCACATCCATGCCAGCATTTGGTGTCATTTGTTCTCTTAATCTTAGTCATTCTCACTGGTGAGATGAAATCTTTAGATGAAATCTTAAAATAGTTTTGATTTGCATTTCCCTAATTACTAAGGATATTGAACATTTTTAAAGGTATTTCTTGTCCATTTTTATTTCTTTTGAGAGCTCTCTGTTCAGATCCAAAGCCCATTTTTTAATTGGGTCATTTGTTTTCTTCATTTTTTGAGTTCTTTGTAATTATGGATATTAATCCTCTGTTGGATGAATAACTGGTGAAGATTTTCTCTCACTCTTGGCTTCCTCTTCACTGAATTGTTGTTTCCTTTGCTGTACAGAAGCTTTTTAGTTTAATGAGGTTCCATTTGTCAATTGTTGATTTTAATTTCTGAACAACTGATATCAAATTTAGAAAGTCCTTTCCTATACCTATATTTTGTAGGGTACTGTCTATGTTCTTATAACAGTTGCGACTTTTCAGGCTTCACATTGAGGTCTTCAGTCCATTTGGGGTTTACTTTTGTTCAGGGTGAAAAGTATGGGTCTAATTTCATTCTTCTACACATGAAGATCCAGTTTTGCCAGCACCATTTGTTGAAGAGGTAAGAGCAGCAAGCATTCTTAACTACTGAGACATCTCTCTTGCCCCATAAATGTATTTTTTTCACACTGTATGTATATGGTTTAAGGGGAAGTATTTAACATTGAACTTAGCAATGAATTTCTTTTGTGTTTTTAATGTGTTGCACTAAAGAGGAATTTGGATATTTGGAAGACAATGTTAGAAAGATGGAGGACTACTGGGATTACTGGAAACATGCTTTGTTATCATTTATCTTTGTGCAGCACCTTTACAAATTACAAAGTGTTTTCTTATCTATTATCTCATTTCTGCCCCATAACAACCTGTGGGATATAATGCCTATATAGACAGAGCAAGTAAAGTTCATGAGTTGAGTTAGTTTGCTAAAGTCATAGGGTGCAAAGTTTTGAGATAGGTTTTGAACCTGAGTCTTCAAACTCCATAATTCATTTTACACCAGTTTCTTAAAATGAAGATTGTCATACTGTACTGTGTATCTTTGGTAAATGCGGTCATCTTCACACTGGGACTTCTAGGTCCAGTTCTGGTACACATATCTTTAGGCTAGTAACCAGAGTTATCAAGGGTGCAGACAGCCTACTTTTGGAGGGGCTGAACATACTAGGACCATTTTCTATAGAAATAGGTTTGCTGAAAGTACAGAGCCAAGAAGAGCCTTCACCAAATTGTTTAGAAGGGCTACTTGGAAGCAGAAAAGACACTGTACTCCAACATTACCTTCCTACCTCATACAACTAAAAACCTGGAAAAAAGAGATGGAGCATGTAAAATAGAGCCTTATGAAAAGTAGTTTGCTGGGCGTGGTGGCACACTCCTTTAATCCCAGCACTTGGGAGGCA